AAAATACTTATTAATTTTTTTCAGACGTTCTTTTTTTTTCTCGTGTATTTCTTTTCTTTCTTTTGTTTGGTTAAAACCAGATATTTAAATCAAAACATGATTAGATAAAATTACTATTTTTGAACTTTTTTATCACTACTACTATTGCTATTATTACGATTGTTCTTTGTTGTTGTTATTATTATTATTAATGATAAATAATAATACTAAAAATAATAATAGTATATTTTATATTAATATTAAAATTAAATAAATTCAAATATCATATGAAATTAAATTTTGTGAAATAGTAAAAGTTTATTTTTTGAATCCTTCTAATTATGAATTTCTATTTTTAATCTAAAAAAAGTTAGTTCTTTTTAAAAATTTAATAAATTTTTGAATTCATATACTTTCTATTCAAAATTTTATCGCTATATTTGTTATTTGTTAATTTTGTGTTAAAATTATCAAGTAATTTTTCATTAGCTTACCACTTGACTTAACCGTATTGCAAATTATTCTCCTTTATTTTAGTAACTTAAGCTGTTGTCACTGCAATTATTTCAAATTAATTTCTCTCCTGTAATTTGTAAACTGGTATGTTATGCATCTTCTGCACAAATACACCTGTGAACATAAATTTTTTTTCATATTTACGATTAACAAAAATATAAAATAAATTAACAAAAGTTACAAAAAAAATACTATAATTACAAAGCTTGTCTAGATTACTAGTTCATCTAGTGAATAATATTACTCCAAGAAAACAACAACAATCAATAGTCTAATATACAAAAAGAAAAAGAAAAAAAAACTCATATCATAATTCACAATCACGTGAAAAGATTATATTTTTATAAACGAATGATGTGATTAACCAAGACAATTAATTTTTTCTTCACACTGAACTGAAAATCATGTTATATGTGTTAAAGCATTTAAACTTAGAAAAAGAAGAAAGTAGGGAAAAGACAAAAGACTTCTTATTTCTCTTGAAGTATATTTAGGATTCATACATCTTTCACCAATCTTATTTACAATGAAGGAAAACCCTTTATTTATAGGGAAAACCTTACTTGGTCCCCAAGTAGCATTCTAACCATATCCAGCAAAGACTCCAGATAATTAGACATTCACTATAACACAAATATGTTTATAACACTCCCCCTTGAATGTCGGTAGATTATGTGCCTCGTTAAAATCTTACTAGATAAAACCCATTGGAAAAAAAATCTAGTGAAAGAAAAAGAGTACACATATCTAATAATACGCATTATGGATGCCTCATTAAAAACCTTACAAGGAAAACCCAGTGGGACAAAACCTTGTGAGGAAAAAAGAGTACATCGCGTATTAACTCCCCCTAATGACAACATCAATTCAGAGACTAGAATCTTCGTTTTCCAAGCTTGTGCACCATCGTTTTGAAAGTTGTAGTTGGTAGAGACTTGGTGAATAAATCAACAATAATATTACTTGAACAGACCTCTTGCATGTTGATATCACCATTCCTGGGAGCTTATGAGTATAGAAAAACCTTAACGAAATATGTTTTCTTTTATCTGCTTTTATAAATCTTCCCTTCAGGGTCAAAGATTTGTGCAAGTTCCTTACTTCAACTTTTTTAAGCAAATAATCTATTGCCATGAGTTTCAATTCTAGTCATCAACTTGCATAATATGCTCTATGCATTTTGAATCTATTTAATCCTTATGAGGATGATAAACAAGTTTTTCAAAAACTTGTATATGCTTTAGATTTTGAACACATTTGATATTTTCATATCAATTTTGTCAAGTAACAACATTCAATATTAGATGTATGACATCTTCTAGTGCCTAGATTGCAAATCAAATAAGCTTTACACTTACCAAGATGCAACATTCCACTTTTTACTTGATAATTATTTCTACACAAGTATGCTTTAATATATGTAGAATTCATATTCTCATAATCTTTTACAATATTGTGCGCTATTGTATCAAAGATATTGTCAACGATATACCATTTTGTATCGATTTACAATACGACAAAACTTATTGAGATTTCATCACTTTATTATATTTAGGTAGCTACCCCTCTCATGAGGTTTCGTAAAGTGTTATGTCGTAGGCTCTCCAAGAGCACATTGTCTCATTATGATCATTTTGATTCTTTGATCCTCCCCTTTTTTTAAGGATTATTTTATTTAGATTTGATTAGTCTATCATGCTTCATGTATGTCATAGACTTTATCCTTAAAGAACATTCAATAGGAGCATTTACAATTTTTGTGTTGCTTCTAATCTCCCCTTATGTTAGACAACCTAACATATATCTCAAACTTTTGGAGAATCTATCTTTGTGCATCATAGTGTCACGACCCAAAACGGGTCGCGAGTGGCACCCACACTTATCCTACTATGTGAGCGAACCAACAAATCTAAAACTCCAACATTTTCAAACATAGTAAACAGAATAAAATGCGGAAGACTTAAAACTCATTAATAACTTCTAAAACTCAAAACTTATCATTATCCCCAAAATCTGGAAGTCATCATCACAAGAACATCTATCCTCAAATTACTAATTCTAAAAGTATCTAGAAAGCTTAGAATAAATAAAAAGCTAGTCCATGCCGGAACTTCAAGGCATCAAGACATGAAGAAGAAGATTCAGTCCAAGCTAGAAGCGTTAGCTCACCCTGAAATCCGGTGTAATGAAAACTGGCTAGAGTTGCGGTTGAGTTGAAGACGACGGTACGTTTGCTGTACTCCACAAATAACAAAGGAAGAAACATACAAGTAGGGGTCAGTACAAACACAAGTACTGAGTAGATATCATCGCCCAACTCAAAATAGAGAACAGTATATATCAGATAATATCATAAACTCAACTACAATACTCAACATGCGGCATTTACAATTACCATAACCCTTGGTCACAACACCAAGTACATCAATGAGGACTCACGCCTCCCCATCATACTCATTTGGGAATTAGGTTCATTAAATTGAGTATGTTAACTTATTTCAAGATTCATTCTCTTTATTCCTCTTGTGTCGGAACGTGACACTCCGATCCCCTAATACTACGTGTCGGTTCGTGACACCCGATCCCCTAATACTACATGTCGGTTCGTGACACCCGATCCCCTAATACTACATTTCGGTTCGTGACACCCGATCCCCTAATACTACGTGTCGGTTCGTGACACCCGATCCATTAATACTACGTGTCGGTTCGTGACACCCGATCCCCTAACCTCATTCTTTTAGTTCGTCAAGCCTTCTTTTATACCAAGGCATCATCATTAACAAAGAGGGTTTTAAGATTCAAGATTCAACAACCTCATCATGCTTTACTTTATCACAATTATATAATCACATTCATGCAAGCATACAATTAAGCATATAGAAGGGTTTACAACACTACCCAATACATATCATTCGCTATTAAGAGTTTACTACGAATAGCATAAACCATAACCTACCTCCACCGAAGAATTGTGATCAAACAAGCTAATTCCCCAAAGCTCTGTTGTCCTCTTCGTTCCTCTCTCGATCGATCGATTCTCTCTTTCTCTCTGTTCTTTCTCTTTTTCTTATTCAAACCCTCTTTCTTTTACCCTAATTAGCATATAATTAAGTATAAAAGATGATAAAATACCCCACTACTTGTTTCAAGGTTCTCTCTTTTAACCCCCCAAGTAATTAAATTATTAACATTAAACCACTAACTTTATAATTATAAGCAGGAATAGTCCAAAACGCCCCTTAAAATATTTAACAGAAATCCGACACAGTCAGGGTCACGCAGCCTGTGACGGGCCGTCGTGCCTGTGACGGGCCGTCGTGTCTGCGAAGGTCCGTCCTGCTGAGTCGTCACAGAGTTCAGAGACTGAAATTTACTGAAGGGCCTGTGACGGTCCGTCGTGCCCACGACGGTCCGTCCTGTCATGTCGTCGCGAAGTTCAGAGAGTTATTCTCAGTTCCCAATTTTTCAGAATTCTAAGTGTTTTGGAACGATACACCCTCGACGGTCCGTTGTGGGATCCGTCGACTCAGACTGTAATTACCAGAAATAAATTCTACTTCTCAAAACGACTAACAGGTCGTTACACATAGTATATTCATTAATCATATATTGTACATCAAAATTATCAAATGAAAACTATTTGGTCCCTGACCATAAACCAATTAACAGAAAAATTGATCATAACTTATTGGTTTGATTCATACAATTATGTTGAGTCCGAAACTCAAAGGGTACAAAATATTAACAAAAATTTCAAAACGGTATATAAAATTTTATATTAACCAAAACAGTAAAATCGCTGCCGGTGCAGCGACTTACTTCACCTGAAAATGTAAAATCGCTGCTGAGGCAGCGATTTTGCAAAAAAAAAAATTTTTAATAATAAAATGAAATCGCTGCCCAAGCAGCGATTCAAAATTTTTCTTCTTACAAATCGCTGCCTTGGCAGCGATTTCATAGTATTTTTTAATTTTCTTTTTTTTAAAAAAAATAAGGTATATCGCTGCACTGGCAGCGATTTATAAAGATTTTTTTTTAAAATCGCTGTCGGTGCAGCGATTTATAAAAAAAAAATTCTAATGTAAATTGCTGCCGGAGCAGCGATTTATAAAAAGAAATTATTAAATCGCTGCAATAAGCAATTTTTTAAATAAAAAAAAATTTAAAATGTTAAAACAACGATTTTATATATAAAAAAATTATAATATTTTTTAAAATTTATGTATATAACTTATAAGAAAATATACATTATTTTAAAAAAATTAAAAATAAGTAAAGTAATAAATATATTTTCTTTCTAAAAAAATATATTATATTGAATTTAAATTTAAATAATATTTGAATTCAAATAATTAATTTTTTTAAATAAAAAATTAAAGGAGAATTTTTTTTTAATAACAAAATGATATATATATATATATATATATATATATATATATATATATATATATATATATATAAAGTTAAAGAGGATCACATGACAATAGTAAAATTTGTTTTTTTTATCGTAAATAGTTGAAGAAAATGTTCACATGTAAATAGTACATAAGACTTTCAATTCTATAAATTGGACTTATCCTTCATATTCATATTACTTTCAATCTTCTAATCTACCAACAATCTTAGGTAAATAAAGTCATTTGAATATTATGGGAGAGTCTAGCCAAAATTTCAGTCATTTGAATTGTTTCTCATCGGATTCAACTAATAGGTAAATAAAGTAATGTTTTCTTATTTCTTAAAAATTATTTTTCTTATATGTAATATATTTATATTATTATTTTTATAGGTATGATCAAATTCAAAATGCAGTGAATTATTGTACACAAATTGTAAATAATAATGTTATGGGTGATGAACGAGTTGGTGAGTTGCACAATGATGAACCTTCCGAGCATGAATTAACAGACAGTGATGATATGTATGACGGCGATGATGATAATGTGGATAATGCACCTAATGCATCCGTTGAAGATCAAAGTATTAATTATCATTCTACAGCGATTCCATACTTAGATCACACTGACGAAAATGCAGAAGATTTTATCTACACAAGAGATGACGGTTCCATTCGAACGACACTTTGAAATTCAAATAATCCTAAACATATCCAGTCAGGTTCGTTTGTTGAAAACTAAATATTTTATAGTTGTTTATTTATTTATTTATTTCATGTTGATTAATTTAATTTGTATATGCAACTAGGTATGTTATTTATGAATAAGATGCAAATGAAATCTGCAGTAAGAGCATATAGTCTTGCTATTAAAAAAGAATTTCTTTGTGATCAATCCAAAAGTAAAAGTTGGAAAGTTATTTGCAAGCGTCATGAGTTAGGGTGTGATTGGATGATTCGATTTAGAGAGATTTCAAGCGATATGTGGAAGACAGGAAAAATGATTGAACCGCATACTTGTCTTATAGATAACTATAAGGAGGATCATTTCAATTTGAATGATAACATGATTGCCACTTCATTAATACCATATGTTATGCAAAATCCGGACATAAATATTAAGATGATCCGTGAAATTATCAAAGGAAAACATCACTATACTCCTAGTTACAGAAAAGCACAAAAAGGTCGAAGAAAAGCATTTCGAATGGTTTATGGTGATTTTGAAAGTTCATTTAAGGCATTACCTCGATACATGGCTGCACTACAATTATTCAATCCAGGCACTATTATTGAGTGGGAGCATCATTCTACAACAATGCAAGGTAAGCAAATTTTTAAATTTCTTTTTTGGGCTTTTAAACAGAGCATTGATGGTTTCAAAAGTTGTAGGCCGGTCATTTCTATCGACGGCACACATCTTTATGGTTTGTATGATATCAAATTGTTAATTGCGGTTGGAATTGATGCGAATGGAAATACTTTTCCACTTGCATATGCTTTAGTTGCACGTGAGAGTTTTGAGTCTTGGTCATGGTTTCTCAAGTTATTATGGACACATGTAGTTTGTGAACGACAAGGAATTGGTCTTATTTCTGACCGTCATCAAGGAATCTTGCAGTGCGTTCAATCTTATGATTGGTTGAGTCCACCCAACACATATCATAGATTTTGTGTTCGACACTTAAAAGCAAATTTTAATAAAAAATTTGTAAATAGTGAACTCAAAAATCTAATGTGGTTGGCTGCTACTGAGCATCAGGAGAAAAAGTTTATGCAACGGATGCAACAAATCAAAACATTGTCTCCTGCAGCATATGAATGGTTAAATGAATTTCCTTTGGAAAAATGGACAATGTATAAGGATGGTAGTCGTAGATGGGGTGCCATGACGACAAATGTGTCTGAGTCATATAATGATTTATTGAAAAAAGCTCGGGGGCTTCCTGTGACTGCCATGGTTCGAATGACGTTCAAAACTCTCGTTGATCATTTTGTCGAAAGAAACAATCTTGCAATTGCATTACTTCAAAGTAATATGCCATGGCCTCTTGCGATAGATAAAAAATTTAATGATTATTATCAAAGAGCTCAAGGGCACACAGATATGATGACTTACAACACAGGTGATGGAGTTTTTGAAATTCTTACTTTTGCTCATGATGGTAAAGGTGGAAATGTCCACAAGGTTACTGCAAAAGGTAAGAAATGTTCTTGTGGAAAATGGAGAAACCATCATATGCCTTGTTCGCATGCCATCAAATTTTGTGGACTTCGCTGAATCGAGCCAAAATCTTATGTAAGTAAATTCTACAATGCTTACAAACGAATAATGAATATTTGCGGACAAGTGGTACGCAAGGAAGAAGCCGACTTAAGAATGATATGGATATAGCTCCGGCTCGCATGACTAGAAAATGTAGTGTTTGTAAGGAGACAGGTCACACAAAGGCACGATGTCCTACTCGATTTTAAATATTTTGTATATGTTTTTAAGGTTAATGTGTTTTTATTATCTTGTTATTAATATTATGATATATCTTTTATATTTATTTGTTGACATGAATTTAATTTGTCTTGTGCATTTTAAATATTGTACGAAAAAAATAATGATTTTACCTAATATAAAAAGTATTGATTTGACCTAACATAAAAAGTTTTGATTTGACCTATGACAAAAAAAAAATCCTGCAAACTTGTTCAAACATACAAAAATGTTGACAAAAAGTATTGATTTGACCTATGATATATCTTTTATATTTATTTGTTGACATGAATTTAATTTGTCTTGCGCATTTTAAATATTGTACGTATAATATCTTTACATTATTATTATATTACTGATTTGAACTCTATTAAAAAATAATGATTTTACCTAATATAAAAGGTATTGATTTGATCTAACATAAAAAGTATTGATTTGACCTATGACAAAAAAAAAGTAAATCCTGCAAACTTGTTCAAACATACAAAAATGTTGACAAAAAGTATTGATTTGACCTATGATATATCTTTTATATTTATTTGTTGACATGAATTTAATTTGTCTTGTGCATTTTAAATATTGTACGTATAATATCTTTACATTATTATTATATTACTGATTTGAACTCTATTAAAATAATGATTTGACCTAATATAAAAAGTATTGATCTGACCTAACATAAAAAGTATTGATTAGACCTATTACAAAAAGAAAAGTAAATCCTGCAAACTTGTTCAAACATAATAAATAAATAAAAAAGAAAAGAATCTCATTACTTTGTTCAAACTTTCACGAAACAACAAAATTTACATATTTCAAAATTCGAATCTTCAACCTTTTAGAATAAAGGTGCATAAAAAAATTATTCTTCTGAATCTGAATCTTCTACATCTTCATTCTCATCTTCACATTCAAAATCTTCCTCATTTTGATAGTGATTGTCTGTTCCACATCTAGTTGATTTGTGTAGCCTTGATGTTCTCCGAGGTGGATTTTGTCTATTAAGAACTAAATTTTGTGAAGCCCCAGCATTAAATCTTGAATCATCAAACACAGTTACCTATAATACAATATAACATAATATAATCAAATAAACATGCAATAAAAATAAAAAAATTATAAAAAGTTAAAAAATTTGTATGAAAATAATTATACTTACATTCGAAAAATTCAATCTTCCACCAAATGGAGAATTATGTATCAGAAATTCACGCATACTATGTTGAAAATCATATTGAGAACCACTAAATTGTGCAAACCCAGATATTGGAACCTGCGGAGTTACAAAACCAACTGTGTGCTGACTAGAAAAATTCGGATTAGTGTTAGAGGGCCCTGCAGAAAAATCAAATGTGGGATAATAAGGCTCGGGAGTCGCCACATTAGTGTTAGAGGGCCCTGCAGAAAAATCAGCTGTTTCACCAGTGGTCCTTCTACCTCGACGAGCACCCTCTCTCAGTGTTGTTTGTCGTGATCGGCAAGATACTTGTACTGGTGGTGGTTCATCGTATTGAGTGGGAGGATTGTAATCAGGATTAAAGCTCAATCGCGTTCCCTGAAAGGCCGCATTCATTGACTCCATTGAAATACGAGCGACTTTCGCTGCATATTGTCTCATTTCATTAGATTGGTTTTCATCATTTTCAATCATCCGAGCTCGACGATACTGTATTTCATGACCCCTAGCTTATAATGAATAAACAAATATTAATAAAAAAATATTTTAAAATTTATGTAATATACATACTAATGCCTCATGTCTTCCTGTCATGTGTTGATACCCTTTTTGTATAACATGTTGTGGATTTCCGATGACCATGCGGGTATGCCTCATGTACCAACGAAAGTAATCTGTTTGATCACTTACAAATGGAGGTCGAAATATACGATTTTGACTTTGTTCCCATAAATATTGTGTATAGTTAAATGCATCTATATCTTCTTGTTTTATTTTGGATCGTTTATCACGCTTAAAATGATATTCGGAAAATTGGGTACACGGTCCAGAAATATGTTGTAAATAACCGAACTGTCTCACAACATGATCAACCATGTGCCACTCACGATAAATTCCATAAATCAGTGGCACCTGTGCCATCCAGACACGTTGTCCTGACCGACACCACTCAGGCAATCCATTAATAACATCTTCCGAATAAGGATGCCAAATAAACTATAAAAAAATTAAGTAAGATAATTATAAAAACAATATTGGCAGAAAAAAATATTTACGTGAAAATGAACAATCTTACAAAATAATTTTTTTGTACCATTGTGTCATTTAAAGATCTACCAAATATATTCTTATTTAAAATAAAATAAAATATGAAAAGTTTAAGATACTAATAATATTAAATACCTGTTCATCAGTTAGATTATCAAGTACATCCCTAATCACACCGATTACAGTTCGTGCCTCATTTTGATGATTTCTACGTTGCGTCCATTAACGTGCAAGCACAGTTGAAGCCTCAAATTGATTGGTTCTTAAAGGCTTTGGCAATGGTTGCAGGGGAATAATTCTTTCCCATGCCCAAATCTACAATAAATAAATTCACCATTACTGATAATGCACTTAAATTTAAAAGTGCACATTACTAGTATATTAAAAATATTTAATTAAAAAATAAGTATACCTGCACTAAAGAGAGAAATCCACAAACTTCATTTGATTTTTTCATTGACGCACGGCATAAACAATTATACAAATATGATAATGCGGCCGATCCCCATGCTTGAGTTGACATTAAATCTAAATTTCTCATGTCAATCAAAATGTCCAAATTAATCTTATTATTAGATTTACCCGGAAATATTGATCCACCACATAACCATAATAAATATAATCTAAATCTTTGTTGAACTTCATGCTCAGTTGAGTTATCATTAATAACTTCCAAACCTTCGATATACTCAATCAATTTATATGTTAACAACCTACTAACACCAGAAAAACAACTAGTATCGGGTAACCATCCTGTTAATTAAAAAATCATTTCTTGTTTACCTATAATCCCTAAAGAATCAGCTCCATTTAAAATTATAGGACTACCATCTACTACCATTCCGAATAAAATTTCAATATCTTGTAAAGTTATGGTAGCCTCGCCAGTTCGCATGTGAAAAGTATGAGTTTCCGGACGCCACCTTTCAATTAAAGCAGAAATTAATCCGGAGTCATACGGCACACATCCAACATCAAGAATTCCTTTAAATCTACAATTTTCAAAATATTGAAGGATGCAAGAATGTAATGGATGATATTTTAAATGTTGCCAAAATTTAATATCACCACGACGCATATATAAGCAACATCTCTCTTCTTTTATGCTACCGTTCCAAATTCCTTCGGAATGATGATGAACTTGAATTTTTAATACATCATGCTCTACTGGATCAAGATGTACGTATAAATTTGACGGATGCATATCTATACACAAAAAATAAAAAGAAAAATTAACATTAATATAAGTATCAAACGATTGAATATATCAACAATACCATATAAAAGTATAAAATTAATTAAAATAAATTAAAAATAAAATAAATTTAAACTGACCTTATAAAGAAAATGCTTTTAAAAACTTTAGAAAATTTGAAGAATAACAAGAATTTTAATGTCACGACCCAAATCGGGTCGCGACTAGCACCCACACTTACCCTCCTATGTGAGCGAACCAACAAATCTAAACCTTAACATTTCAATATAATATCAACAGAAAGTAATGCGGAAGACTTAAACTCATTAATAAAAACTCATTTAATAACTTCTAAAAACTCAACAACTATTATTATTATCCCCAAAATCTGGAAGTCATCATCACAAGAACATCTACTTCAAATTACTAAATCTAAGAGTATCTAAGAAGCTAAAATACATAAACAGCTAGTCCATGCCGGAACTTCAAGGCATCAAGACATGAAGAGGAGGATCCAGTCTAAGCTTGAAGCATTAGCTCACCCTGATATCCGGAGTAATGAAGACTGGCTAGAGTTGCGGTTGAGTTGAAGACGACGGTACGTTTGCTGCACTCCACAATTTACAAAGAAAACAAATACAAGTAGGGGTCAGTACAATCACAAGTACTGAGTAGGTATCATCGGCCAACTCAAAATAGAAAACAGTATATATCAGATAACATCATAAAATCAACTACTATCCTTAGCATGCAGCATTTACAATTACCATAACCCTTGGTTACAACACCAAGCACATCAATGACGACTCACGCCTCCTCATCATACTCATTTGGGAATTAGGTTCATTAGATTGAGTATATTAACATCTTTCAAGATTCATTATCTTTATTCCTCTCGTGTCGGTACGTGACACTCCGCTCCTCATATACTATCCTAGTGTCGGAACGTGACACTCCAATCCTCATTCTATCCTAGTGTCGGAACGTGACACCCGATCCATATTCTATCCTGGTACCGGAACGTGGCACCCGATCCATATACTATCCTGGTGTCGGAACGTGACACTCCGATCCTCATATACTATCCTGGTACCGGAACGTGACACCCGATCCATATACTATCCTGGTGTCGGAACGTGACACTCCGATCCTCATTTACTATCCTAGTACCAGAACGTGGCACCCGATCCTTATATACTATCCTGGTACCGGAACGTGACATCGGATCCCCTAATCTCACTACTTTCGTTCATCAAGTCTTCTTTTACACTAAGGCATCATCATTAACAAAGTAGATTAGGGTTTCTCAAGATTTAGGATTCAATAGCTTCATCGTGCTTATTTTATCACAATTACATAATCACATTCATGCAAGCATACAATTAAGCATATAGAAGGGTTTACAATACTACCCATACATATCATTCGCTATTAAGAGTTTACTACGTATAGTATAAAAACCATAACCTACCTTCACCGAAGATTAGTGATCAAGCAAGCAAATTCTCCAAAGCTTTGTGTTTTCCTCTTCTCGTTCGATCCTCTCTCTCTCTTTGTTCTTTTTCTTTATTCAAACCCTCTTTCTTTCACCCTAATTAGCATATAATTAAGAATAAAAGATGGCAATAATAACCCACTAATTTACTCAAGGTTACCTCTTTTAACCCCCAAGTAATTAGACTTATTAAC